TACGTAATGTTCGTTACGTAAGAGAGAAACGACGTTTTTTTCGATTTTTTTTTTGTCAGTTTTTCGTCAATAACTCGAGAACCCTTTAAGATAATTACATCATTGACCACTCTTATGAAAGCTGAATGTCTCACCTATCCAACGAATGTACTGGCATCTTCTTACTGCCACCGAGTCGCCTGCTATGAGCTGTTGAAATTGGAAAAAAGTGAATTGAATTTGTCAAAAAAGTCATGTTTTCAGTTTTTCGTTAATAACTCGAAAAGTAATAAACTATTTTATGATTTTATTGCATAATCAGATGCACGCAAGCGTTGCGCAACTTTGTATGTAACAAAAGTTACGTAATGTTCTTTACGTAATAGAGAAACGACGTTTTTTTCGATTTTTTTTCAGTTTTTCGTGAATAACTCGACAACCCCTTAAGATAATTACATCATCTTCTTACTGTTACCGAGTCGCCTGCTATGAGCTGTAGAATTTGGGAAAAGAAGTGAATTGGATTTACCAAAAACATGGATTTTCGTTAATAACTCGAAAACTTTTATTGTTTATAAAATATTTTATTAAAACATGAATTAATAATTGTATGTGTAACAATTTGTTAAACTAGCAATGAGGTGACTGGAAAGTCTGGGATCGTCCTGATGATCTTCCTCAATTCATTAACGTCGCAGCAATAACCATAGCCCTTCTCGACGTTGTCGTTCTTCCATGTGAGCCAATCCGCCTGATCGCAGACGCTTTCGCACAAAGTGTTAGCTTCCAGGTCCAAATCGTAAGGATTGTTGACGGCGACGAAAGCGAGACCGGCTTTGGTGGATTTCTCATAGATCACCTTCCAGAAGAACCGTGGAACGGCGATCCCATTCCTTTTGCCGTCCACGTACAAGTAAAGTTCAGTCTGTTCACCGGTTTCCGCGTCGGGCAGAGTGGAGACGCCGTGTCCGCCCGTGTACACGATCAGATCTAGGCCCTTGTCGGCAGCGAACGTTCGGACGTCGGCCTCAAGAGCGTTCCAGTTGTTACCATTGAGGGTCTGCCACTGCGGCATAACATTCACGTATTTAAAGGTGACCCTCTGCTGAGATCCGTAAAGGAAGTCGGCTTTCGCGGTCAGATGTCCCCTGGCCAAGTAGAAGTTTCCACTGGCAGCAACGTACTTGTTGGAATCGGGAGGAAGACCCAGAAGAGCGTTGATGGTCTTCCTTTGGGTGTTGCGCGTGTACAGATTGTTAACGTTCGTCGCACCGACATCGTAGAAGCCGTCTTCGGTGAAATCTGGTCTGGGGAAGGCCACTTGGTAACCGTCAATGGTTCTCGTCAAATTGAACTCTGAATATATGGCGTTCTGGGAAACGTAATCGAAGCAGATCTTGATGACTCGGACGAACCTCTCCTCCAACTGAAAACCGGCTTCGATCTCTTTGAATTTTCCCAAGCAGGAGTTGCCCGTGTACCTGGCCTTGTGCGCCGGCATTCTGGTGCAGTTGATTTCGTTCATCCGAACGGTGTTCGATAACACCTCGAACTTGTTCGACTTGCATTTTCCTTCTGCCTCCTTCACGTTCATGTTCGTCTCGCCGACGATCAGTTTACCGCCGGGACAGGCGAAGAGAACGGATTGATTTTCCTTGAACTCGATCACATCTCCATCGGTGGGCAGGAAGAAAGCTTCTGCACCTTCCGTTTTTTTAGGATCAAGGATCAAAGCCTGAGGATTACCGAGACCATTGTTTATGGACACACGACATCCTAATTACAACAACAACAATAAAAATATTTCGTATTTCACGTCTTATCCAACAACGAAATTTAACGTTTATAAAATATACAATATGTTAAGTACAAAAAAACAAAACAAAAATGTACATATTAAAGCAATGACAATTTTTTTGTCAACTTTGACATATAACCACGATGACAATTCATTGATAACATATTATTATTTTCTTAATCAATGCATGTAATAAAGTAACAGAATTCATTTCAGATCTCTCCACTCTTCCCTTTACTCAATTTTAAGCATCATTCGACGTTTAAAACTCAACTATTTATTACTCTAATTGAATACAATTTTGACAATTTATGTGACAACTTTGACATATAACCACGATGACAATCCATTCATAACATATTATTATTTTCTTAATCAATTCATGTAATAAAGTAACAGAATTCATTTCAGATCTCTCCACTCTTCCATTTACTCAATTTTAAGCATCATTCGACGTTTAAAACTCAACTATTTATTACTGTAATTGAATATAATTTTGACAATTTATGTGTCAACTTTGTCATGTAACCACGATGACAATTTATTCATATTATATTATTATTTTCTTAATCAACGCATGTAATAAAGTAACAGAATTCATTTCAGATCTCTCCACTCTTCCCTTTACTCAATTTTAAGCATCATTCGACGTTTAAAACTCAACTATTGATGACTGTAATTGAATACAATTTTGACAATTTATATGACAACTTTGACATATAACCACGATGACAATTCATTCATAACATATTATTATTTTCTTAATCAATTCATGTAATAAAGTAACAGAATTCATTTAAGATCTCTCCACTCTTCCCTTTAATCAATTTTATGCATCATTCGACGTTTAAAACTCAACTCTTTATTACTCTAATTGAATACAATTTTGACAATTTATGTGTCAACTTTGACATATAACCACGATGACAATTCATTGATATTATATTATTATTTTCTTAATCAATTCACGTAATAAAGTAATAGAATTCATTTCAGAACTCTCCACTCTTCCCTTTACTCAATTTTAAGCATCATTCGACGTTTAAAACTCAACTATTTATTACTCTAATTGAATATAACTTTGACAATTTATGTGTTAACTTTGACATTAAGTGTCTACAATAGCAACATTTGAATTTAAATAAAATACATGAATGATTGTAGCTAAGCTCAATAATTATTAAGAACATACAAAGATTTCAAACCAAATAACTTAAGCAAAATCACAAAACTTAATTAACAAATGCAAAATGAATATAATGTAATGAGTAGAATTAGTAAAGTAGATTTAATTTAAGCTTAAATTAAAACGAAATCACAGGTGTTTTCGAATATAAACGTACACATTATGATTAGATTTAGTAAACACTTGAATAACAAGTGGATTGTGTACCTGCTGCATCGATGAAAGGCAGGGATAACGAAACTATAGCTATTAGTCGCCACATCGCGTTTCACTGATCGATTAGGTCCCTTCGACGAGACAACGCTGATATATTCTGCATGTGCAGTTGTTATCTTCGATTAAGCCACAAGCTTCCATTGTGTTGTCCATTTTTGTACGAAAACTACTCCCACGGAGATAAACCAAAGTTTAATTTAGTTTTGATTTGTGGAATCTCGAGTGTTATTATTCTGGGTTTTTTTTTTAGATAGAAAGATTGCAAATTGAAGTATAATTAGTAACTGTATTTGTACAATGTTTATGAGTATGTAAACTATTTTGGTAGGCGTTTGAGTTCGTGCGTGAGCCAAATGGCCGTCGATAGGAGGACGAGAGAACCGCTCTGGTGGCAAGCCGCCAAAGAGACGGGAACGTAGGTGAGGAGAGTGGAGATGCCTAAGCCCACCTGAAGCCAGGCCATCGCGGCTAAAGCATTTGCAGCCTTGTACGCTCTCGGAGGCAACACCCGTCGCTTGGACAGAAGCCACAAGGTGGAGATTAAAGTGAGCGTTGTCGTTCCTAGTATCCTGTGATCGAATTGAACCGTCGTCGGGTTCTCCGTGAAATTCGAGATCTTCGGCTGCAGAGCCATAACATCGTCAGGCACCCATTTATCGGCCATCTTCGGGAAGGAATTGTAGACGAGTCCGGCGTCCAAACCGGCGACGAAAGCACCTACAACAAAAAATTGACCAGATTACAAGAGATGATCGACGAAATGTTAATTGGATGCGAACCGGAGACTGCGGTGAGGAAGACCAGACCCTTGCAGGAATGCGCCAGCATTCGGAACTTCCGCGCAGCTTTGACGACGCTCTGAGAGGTGGTCGGAATGGTTCCAGCTGGCACCAGATGATCCAATCCGGACCACACGAACAGCGTGTAAAGGACGAACGCCAAACTGAGATGGGCGGCTAGCCTGTACTGCGACACCCTCGGCACATCAGATTCCCCGTGGAATCTATCCTCCAGTCCAGACTTCACCATGTACCATCCCATCAATCCCTGAAACAATTCAAACTCACATTTACGACTACTCGAATATATATATTTTCCTCTGATACCGGTTTTATTGTGCAAATACCGGTTAGATGAAAGCGTATCCGCATTACCGTATCGGTGAGAGGTGAGAGGCTCTCTTGCGTAAACCAAAGCAATCTATCTATCTTTCGGTCACGGCTGCTGGATCGCGGTCAGCTCTGGGGGTCAATCTCTCCTATCAGCCGCAATTTGTTTGAAACGCGTTCGAGCGTATCAAGTCGGCCAAATTAGATATGTAAGTTTCACATACACACAAATTGGATGACGAAGGAGAAAAAAACAAACAGAACAGATATTGACACATTTATCACCGCTGTTTTCGATAAACACTCGTTGAACTATTTGGGCAGTACTATTAATCTTCATCGTGAAACGTCGTTTAATCTTCTTGGACGTGATGCGAAGGACACGAAGGACCCAAGAGGTCGATGGACCACACTTATCGCTCGTTTATCTCCTCGATTATTATTAATTCATACAATTCCGACTAATTCATTTTATGTTTTCTCAACTTTCAACATCCTTCATCTTGACAATTTATCTGTCAACTTATTGACACATAAATTGTCAATTCATTCAGGATCATACATTCAGAATGTATTTTATTGTTTATAAAATTTCCTATTTATCGATTAACTTCTCAACAACATCACAACATGTTTACCTTGTGTCCTTGTAAAGGACAAAGATTCAATAAGTGCGCCACCACAGTCGACTAACTTGCAATTTTGCAAGTGTCCTTTGTAAAAGATAGGGCGGATATATATGCCACATGTCCGAAAAAGGAATAAATGTTGATCTATGAATTGGAACATCTCAGTTATTAGAGTGTCAAGTAGATTTTAAACTAAAATCTCGATTAGAACTAAGATTCAATAAGTGCGCCACCACAGTCGACTAACATGCAATTTTGCAAGTGTCCTTTGTAAAGGATAGGGCGGATATATATGCCACATGTCCGCAAAGGAATAAAAGTTAATCTATGAATTGGAACATTTCAGTTATTAGACTGTCAAATAGATTTTAAACTAAAATATCGATTAGAACTAACAGATTTCATACATAAATAGAAATAATTGCAAAGTAATAACATCTATGCAGTAAATAAAGTCAATGTTTTATAATATTTGGATATTAAGGCTATCAACTTTCTACCTCCTCTGATTGATTTATTGATTGATCGCCTTGCAAACATTCTAATTGCAAATATTCCATGAGTTATAGAGAAAACGGAACGAAATTGATGGAAAATTTATATTGAACAAATCGTTAATAACACCACACAAATTGCGGTAATTTCGCAGCTGCAAAGAGAAATTACGTGTTGTTTTTTTCGATACGAGAAAAAAAGTAAACATATAATTAGGAAAAAACCCCGAGGCTAAATTCGCGTTTCCCGTCATTGAAACTATTCCATACACAACACAACTAATAATCAACTCAATTAAATATCATACGCAAAAAAAATTAAAAATTTAGTAGGAAACGTTTAAATTGTTTGTGTGTCGGCAAGCAGCATTCGCTCCATCCGCTGATATTAATTTAAAGTGAGAGTTTACATTTCGATGGGAGAATTCCATATGGAATTATGACAGGAAAACATGCGATATTACGAATTAATCTTAATGTCAGTGTCAATATTCTAAACTGGCTTTGTGCGGTTTTCAAGGATGAACACCAGCATCAACAACAACAAAAAAAAGAAAAAAAGCGTGCATTTCTTGTGTATCGAATCGTATTTCGTTGTACACGCCGATCGAAACTATCATTTCGGAAATGAAATTGTGACAATTTCTTGGAATTCGCACAATTTTGACACAATAAATGTCAGTGTTAAATTTCGGAAATGAAATTGTGACAATTTCTTGGAATTCGCACAATTTTGACACAATAAATGTCAGCGTTAAAATTACGGAAATGAAATTGTGACAAGTTCTTGGAATTCGCACATTTTGACACAATAAATGTCAGCGTTAAATTTCGGAAATGAAATTGTGACAATTTCTTGGAATTCGCACATTTTGACACAATAAATGTCAGCGTTAAAATTACGGAAATGAAATTGTGACAATTTCTTGGAATTCGCACAATTTTGACACAATAAATGTCAGCGTTAAATTTCGGAAATGGAATTGCGACAAGTTCTTGGAATTCGCACGATTTTGACACAATAAATGTCAGCGTTAAAATTACGGAAATGAAATTGTGACAAGTTCTTGGAATTCGCACGATTTTGACACAATAAATGTCAGCGTAAAATTTCTGAGGTGGCTTTGAAGTGTATTTTCACGCATTCGAATATAACGTGAAAACAAAAATAATTCTTGCGTTTACGTAAACAAGTGTTGCGTAACTCGTAACTCGAAACTTTCGCAGAAAGTGCGATGTTGGCGACAAATGTTTCATACGTTACAGACATTTAATCGAGTCGTTCAATCGTTGAGGATGGAAAATAACAGAATGTACTTTGCGTTTCGATATTGCAATTTTTTAATTGTTGTTTTTTCGAACGACCTCCAGCTACGGCGCCCACGCAGAATACTTAAACTTAAGTAATTATTCGTTAAGTTTCACCTTCAGAACGGTCTTTTTTTTTTCTATATAGATTTTGTTTTGCTTGCAAGTAATGATTATACTTTGGGTTTGTTGCTAAGTCTATTCGTGGAATTTGCATAGTTCTTTGCATTAATTGCGTGTCGTAAGCGAATTGCGGCGGAGCGCGACACGTGGGGAGTTCGCTTCTAAACTCGATTATGTCTGTGTCGTTCAGATAAGCGTTTCTAGCGGATCTTCGTTGGAGGAAGAAGTAGCTAGTTAGCTAACAGCCGATGTTATTGTGAAGGAATTCAAAACATTCTGAATGTATCCCACGGGTCACTCGACGAGTCGCATCAGTAAATAAACATTCGGCTTCGTTATCTGCTTCGTTAAAATGTAACGAATTTTGTAATTTACAAAACGGGACGAACCTGCGCCGCGATGAGACTTCCGAAGGCCACGATCCTCGGCTTCATTCCGGGTCGCAGTCTTCCGCGCATCCAAAAGTAGGCCGCCGGCACGAGGAAGGCCGCACCGATGGCGCGACCCCACATCCTGTGCCCGAACTCCATGTGCCAGATCCACTTGAACTCTGACAGCGTCATGTCCTTGTTCTTTCTAAGACGAAACCGAAACCAATTAATTCAACATATAACATACATATATAATATAATCAAAAAAATCACATTTTAAACTCGGGAAACTCCTTGTACTTTCGAAACTCCGATTCCCATTCCTCCTGCGTCCTGGGCATCTTCTCACCCAGCAGCTTCCAAGTCACCATCGACAGGCCAGACTCTGTCAGTCGAGTCACACCACCTTTCAATAAAACAACAGATTTTTATTCATCCACATTTATTATTTGCCCTTTGTCGTCTCAACAGCTTCCTTAACTACAGTCTTTGCACTCTCGAGCATGAAAATATATGCTACACTACCTAATACTACAGCAACAAACACCATCCCTCCGCACGTCATCAGCCAGTAACCGACAGCTCTATTGGAATTTGTTGAAGTCTCTGCAGTCAGTCGCATCGCCACAGTACCGGTTCCCCTCAACAAGTTACCCTGAAGATGTTACCAGTCACCACAACGAAACCCCAATCATGAAATAATTACCTTGGCATGCTTAACGAGTGGCTGCTTGTTCCACAGCGAATTGCTGTGCAGCATCTTCTTCAACCCATTGCTGGTGTATATTCGATTGGCGTTGCCCGCAAGCGTTTTGCTGCCAGGCAACACAAACTTTGAGAAGCATTGCCTTCCCACGCTCAACATCCCTGCGAATACTGCAACAGTTCATTATATTTCTATATAAATTTATATCTGCTTAACAAAAAAAAAAAATAAATAAAAAAAAATTTATCAATGATAATGGGTGTGGAATGCATTTTAATCTAAAGTTCCCAGTACATGTTTTATCATTAGCGACATGGATATTAACAGGAAGGCGTACTGCAAGAAAGTGAAGGAAGCACTGGCGACGATGGAGTACGGAGAGAAATCTTACTCGATCAAGGAGGCTGAAGTAAGAAATTTCCTTTGTTTTTACGGCGATCCTCTGCGTTTGACCGTTCGCGGCGAGCGTTTGAGGTTATGTCAAAATAACATGTTTATCGGTTGCATAAGAGGAAACGAACATTAATTCGTTTATTTTCATATAGACTTTACCTACCTCATATAGACCTAATCTCTATGGTTATTCAATCTGTAAATTTACGCATTAATACAAAAAAAGAAAAAAAAAAGAAGTCCGCAAAAAAAAAACAATGCGAAATCTTCAGCGGGAAATTCGAATTTGCAGGAATTCCTGCTGAACTACGAGCCGCACATGTTCAAAGTGTCCGATCCGCCGGGCGAGCAAAACGAATTCGAAATCGTCGATTTCGAACCGAGGGAACATGAGGAAATCGGAGACTTTCATGGATGGAAATTCGATGTGATTAGGTGATTCGCGCGCGCGAAAAGTTTAACGCTCAATTTGAATTCGATTTTTAAATTTGGTAGATTCGCGGAGGAAATTAAAAAGTCGACCGAGCTGATCGTCCAACTCGAGCTGCTGCTTCGCGACATCCCGCCGAAGGACACCAGACAGAGTCTGTCCGTGATGCAGGATTTCCACTGCAATTTCGGTTTCAGAAAGCATCGTTTCCTGCAAAACAGCGGCGAATTCTATTTTCGCAAGCACGATTCGCTCGTGAATCTCGCGTTCCGCTTGGTCTGGCTTGGCAATAAGAGCGTGAAGGTGCTGCTGGCAAAGGAATGCGCCTACGTCTTCGACCTGCTTCTCGATCTGGCGCTAAAGTCCGGGTAAAAAGATGCAAAAGCATTCGCTCTGAAGAGGTTTTAAACTTCACGTTTGCTTCAATTGCAGAGCTACCGGATGGATATTCGATGTGGAATTTTATTACGGCGACGGCGACGACAGACGGCAGGACAAGGCGCCGATGATCGTCTTCAACAATGCGGACATCCTCTCCGCATGTTACAGTTGCGTCGACGCGACTTGGGCGCATCAGGGCTTGGTAATTCATTCATTCCTCAACAACAACAATAATATGACGTACAATATTGTGTGTTTGTTTTCGTCAGCTTCCTTGGTCCGTCGGCACCGTCCTCGTGCAGGACGATGTCTTGGACGAGTTCACGAGGGAGCTGAAGCGGATACTGACGAAGATCAAGATGGGCTTCGCGTACGATTGCCAAGCGCAGGTGAACTTTCCGATTTCGATCAAGAATTACCAGGGGAAATTCAAGAAGTGCCTGAAGGATGCACGCGATCTCGGCATAGAGGTGTTCGCGCCTGGTTCTCTGGGTGGCAGCTTCGCGCCGGCTCTGCTCATCGGTGGTCGCGTCTACGGGAATTCCGTCATGCCCGAGCACATGACGGACGGCGTTGATGTTTCCACCATACCGATCTTGACCGTGCTGGGTTTCCGCGACGCGAAGGAAGCCGTCGCGCTCGCCAACAATTGTCGCAACGAGGTGGCCATCAGCGTTTGGACGGAGAAGATCGGCCTCGCCAACGAAGTCGCCATGCAATTAGACGTAATAATCGAACATAATTGTCGTTGTTATTATTAACGCATTCGTATAATTGTAATTGTTTATAATTTGTCAATCAAGTGCTCGACCGTTTGGGTGAATTGCTTCAACAAACTGACGCCCGAGATGCAATGGCCTCTGAACCGCTGGGAATACTTTCAGCCCAGATCCGTGTGTTTAGATTTCGCACTGAATCTATTTGCGAAGAATCCCACCGACTGGCCCAAATTGTCGTCCGTAGAACGGTGCCGACGATTGTACAAATTCGCCTCGGATGGTAGCAATAAAGGATTCAAGTAAGTAGGAAAGAGAAAGTTGTTTCTTGTTGTTGTTGTAACTGGAGATATTTGTGTTCCATTCAGATCGGAGATAATCGAGAGCGTATTGAGGGCGTCGTCGAAATGCGACGATTTCGACTCGATGAGCTCGGCGGCGATAAGGCACGGCGGCAAGTACACGGTTTCAACGTACGCGGAGGCCGTCGGCGTCGTCGTCATCCATCTGCGACACGAGACCGAGGATCTCATCGAGGCTGCAATGAACATCATCGCCCAAGGCAACCGGATAATTGTCGTTTACCATTCGGACGTCGATGACTCGCTGTTGCGCAAGTTCAGCGAATTGATGCCGAACATCTTCAACATTTGCAACGCCAGAAGCGACGTCGACAGCTGCAGTTTCGGTGATCAGATTGCCATCAAGTACGATAACGGCAGAGTCATCTGGCAGAACATCAACAAGAAACTGTACTTTTTGAAAACCAAAACCGTTTGGCAAAGTATCGGCGATACCTATTGCTGCTAATTCAATCATTATTATTAAATATTATTACCAACTACAACTGCTACTCTTTCATTATATATATATTGAATTATAGAAATAAAATAAAATAGAAAAATATTTATGTGTGTTTGTGTGCGCGCGTTGCGTGCGTGCGTGTGTATATAATATGTATATATAATAGAATACAATCAACATTCATCTAGGTAGCAGGTTCTGACTATGGCATCGCAGACGGCGTACGGATCGCAATTGGACGAAGGCCTCCTGTCCTCGAAGTAGCCCTTCTTCTTGGCAACAGTTTCCCGGTGAATCCTGACGCTCGACGATCGATTGCCGACGGCGTGCGTGAAGACGTCCATCGAACTCGTCTCGTGGAGACCCGTCAACCGAAGCTTGTTGTACTCGCCGCACTTGGGATCGTACCGCTTCATGTGCTCCTTGTGTCTCTTCGACAGCTTGCAGATGCACTCCTCGATGACCTTGAGACCGCCGTCGTCGCGCATCTCCTTCGTGGAGAAGTTCGTGTGGCAGCCGGCACCGTTCCAATTCGGAAACAGCTTCGGATGGTACGAGATCCAGACGCCGAACTCCTCGGCCATCCGATTGAGGATGAAACGACCCATCCAGAGATCGTCGGGACCCTTTATGCCATCCGACACGCCGATCTGGAACTCCCATTGGCCGTAGGTGACCTCCGCGTTAGAGCCGGCGATGTCGAGGCCGGCGTACAGGCAGGCCCTGTAGTGCGCCTCCACGATATCCCTGCCGACGACGTTGTTCGACCCGACGCCGCAGTAGCACAGCCCGGTGACCTCCGGTTCACCGCGCATCGCTGGCCATCCCAGCGGCCTATGGTCCGCGTCCATCAGCTGGTACTCTTGCTCCAATCCGAACTGCGGTTCGTGCTTGCATATCTTGCGGACGGCGTCGGCGCACGCTGCCCGATGGTTCGTCGACGTCGGCTGCAGATCCTTGTCGTACGTCTCGCACAGCACCAACTTGTTGTTGCCCCTGCGAAACGGATCCTTGTACATCGCGACAGGTATGAGGAAGATGTCCGTGTCTTCGCCGTGCGCCTGGAAACACGAGCTCCCGTCGTACGACCATTTCGGCACCTCCTCGTAGCACGACGGAACGAAATCCAGGGTGCGCGTCTTCCCGCGCAAATTCTCACCGGTTCCATCGATCCAGATGTACTTCACCTGGCACTTGCAGTCCGGCGTCGGCAGGCACATGTACTTGTCCAGCACGAGTTTGTTGAACTTCGCGTTCGTCGACCATTCCAGCGCATAACCTGCTCGCAATTTTGAACTGGTCGCGAATGTCGTGCGCGTTTTCTGCTGCAATTGCCCCAGCAATTTCTGGCCAGATTTCCTCAAAATTCCCGAAAACATATTTCTAACACACACAGGAAAAAAAAAACCAACCACGACTGACACACAGTACGACTGTTTACTGTTCTATTGTTTCCAGCCAACTAATCATTTAAAATATACGCTCTCTATGCACACTCTCTCTCTCGCGCGCTCGCTTCTTACTCAACTCAACTGTTCCAACACATTCACCGACTTTCACACACTGACCATAGAAAAGCCTTGACAGATCATTTTAATCGCTCGCAGGATTCTTACAATCACTCGCACTCTCGCATCAGTGGGATTCGGGAGGGAAAAAGCAAAAAACTTTACGGTTCGTTGGGTTGCCTATGCAGCCACACACACAAAAAATAAATAAAATTGATCAACGCGAACGGAGCGACATTAATTTATTACTATTAACATAACATTACACACTAATAATGAATAACCTACAGTTGTTTTTTCCTTCTTGCTTCAACTAAATAAAAACTCTACTCATACATACATTTGTAGTAATATATATACAACATATACTGAATACTTGACGAAATGGAAATTTAATGCTGATTAACTGGTGCGATCAATTCATTATTTTGCTAAAGTAATCGGAGAGTTGCCCTGCAAAAATATTGAACGCGAATTTAGGACTATCATCCAAACAAATAACACTTAAACTTACCCATTCTTTAGCTAAAATCATGATTGTGTGCCTGTCTAGTTTGGGGCCAATCAACGGGTTCATCTGTGCCATGTAGCAACACAGCCAACTACAGAGAAATCAATTAGTTTTATCAATTTGGAATGGTATATATTCGGGGGGGAATACTTACAACAGCCAGCAGGTCGCAGCCGTTAGCATGAGAACCACCTGAATGATCCTGTGATCAAGAAAACAGTGTAAATAAGGTTACTTAAGAAATTTTAGTCTATTTTACCCTCTATTCGGTCCCTTTGGCACAACGAAAGGCAACACTATTCCCACGATAGCCCACAGGGTGGTGAACACGATGAAAGGGATATACGAAGCACCCATTTCTTCCAACTATTAACAAATCTGACCACAAGACTGAAAACTCGACTCGGTCAGCTGACAAGGAGTGAATAATGTCATGTGATTGTCATTGACACCCTTTATCGGTGCTGCCATCTTCGATTAACTAATTTCAAGGGTGCACACACACACACTTTCTTCAAGATCACATCGAATCTTATTCATTATGAACGTATTCATTTATAATTCTAATATGTTAATCAATACTATAGGATAATATGTAAAATATTTCAACGAATGCTATTGAATGTATGCAACTCAACTTACAATTTGAAGATTTTTAAATCGTTTGAAATTAACAAATAATTTTCTTCTTAATAAAATTATCAATTGTGTATATATATTGTATATTAATTTAATTAAAAAAAATATAAACATTATTTTTGAACTATTGGAAGCATCAGCAACGCTGTTATCAGTAGGTTGGCAAATAAAAAAAATTGGATTTGATAATATGTAAAATATTTCAAGGAATGCTATTGAATGTATGCAACTCAACTTACAATTTGAAGATTTTTAAATCGTTTGAAATTAACAAATAAAATTCTTCTTATCAATTGCAGATATATTGCGTATATTTATATTATATATTAATTTAATTAAAAAAATTAAAACATTATTTTTGAACTACTGGAAGCATCAGCAACGCTGTTATCAGGGTAGGTTAGCAAATAAAAAATTTTGAATTTGATATGTAAAATATTTCAACGAATGCTATTGAATGTATGCAACTCAACTTACAATTTGAAGATTTTTAAATTGTTTGAAATTAACAAATAATTTTCTTCTTAATAAGATTATCAATTGCAGATATATTGCGTATTATATATTAATTTAATTAAAAAAAAATAAAACATTGTTTTTGAACTACTGAAAGTATCGGCAACGCTGTTATCAGGGTAGGTTTTAGCAAATAAAAAAAATTTGAATTTGTATCAAAACATAACCTAAAATGTGAAAAACTGTGTACTTGTTGTGCTCGATTTTTGCCTTGTTTAAACTGTATTAAGTGTAACGAGTCGTCTTGAATTTATGTTATAATTCACGTTTCATTCACGTTTTACGTTTTGGCTGACTGCACGAAGGTAAACTGGATGAAAATACAGAAATAATGATTGCTGCCACTGATCCGCAGGTATTTGATGATCTTATCAATTGCTGGCTTTTCTCAATTTACTGTATCCGTTTCAGGAGTTCATCCCAGGTGGAAGGCAGCAAGCATTAAGGCATCCAGGTCCACCGGACCTGGCGCAAAGCTTGAAGAACAATTCTGCCGATGATCTGTTGTCTCACAAATTCAAGAAAGTATCCTTGACCGAGGAGTCGAACGAGTGGTGGGCGATCAGGAAAAGTCCGAACGCGTTTACGGAACGCAAAGAGAAGTTATCTCTGACACGGGAGCAGGTGAATAATGGTAGCAGAAGTTTTTTACCACCTGAGAACAAATCGCACAGCGAATTCCTCTACGATGATTCGTGGAGCTGCAAAAGCATGGAAACGAACGTCTCCAATAAGACGAATCGCCGGGTTTCCGATGTCAACGCATCAAAGTTGCATCAGAGCAAGCGTTTCTCGTTGGATGCAGACTCGAAATGTAGTTCGAATAAATCGTATCTTGGTCAGAGTGGAACACACGAGAATGTTAAATTCAAATCGGAAATGGGTTACATGGAGGAGGAACTGTACGTGAAAGGTAATCTGGTTGTGTGGACCAAAGGGCTTTCTTACAATTTATATGAGAACGCGAGAACTACGATATGCTCGTATTCGTCCGTGCATCCGGTGAAACACGCCACTTGGAGCACGTTTTATTGCGAGAGGCCTGAATTCAAGTCGATGGAAAACATGGAGAACAAAGACGACGTACCCTTGGGCGACGCTCTGCATTGCGTTTGCATAGTGGACAGTCAAAATCTGAGGGTGTACACGATGGACAGTGAAGACTTTATCACTACTCTGCCATTCCAAGTGCTTAAAGTTTGGAACACCAAGTTTGGTATACTTTTGGAGAAGGAGAATAATGGTAAACAGAGTCTACGTTCTTTGTACTGTAATGTACTGATTAATTAAAATATGATTGCAGAACAAAACAGGGATATTCAAGCCAGCATGTTTTCTCTGACGCATCCGCTGGACGAGGTCAGTCCGATGGTGATTTCGAAGCAAGGATGCACGAACATCATCAACGACGAGCATCTGCAAGTCGTGTACACGTTGGAAAATCCGAGCATCTGCATGATGTACGACGGCAGCACCGGCCTGCACAGCGTGTATAGGATAAGAAGGGTGAAACAGGACGAATGGATCGATACGGCGAACAAAACGAACAACGCGACGCCCTCCGGCTTCAGCATTTCTAACAAGTTTAAAAGTCACATGTCTATGATCGAGGGCTACAAGAACTGCATGCCGCCTGGTATAAGTCCGTTCAGCAGTCGTGCGACTAGCGTGGCCAGCAGTCATTTTCCGTCCAGTCCTGCTGGCACTCTCAGTCGATGTCATACACCTGCTGCGTCTCCACTACCGACGGGGAGTCCTTGGCTGTTGCGCTTGTCGCGTTTGCACAGCTCCAGACTGACCGGCGATACGATGAGCACGATTCCCGACCGCATGAATTTGGACACCACCCAGAGCTACAACGCGACGGATCCGGCCTTTTGCTTGGATTATTTATGGTCCGAGAGCACTTCAATGCTTCAGTGGGTTACAAAATCTTGAAAGCAATATATAATACATAAAGTTTCATTTTTGCAGGGAGGGTATTTTGAACGGTCCAGCGACCAGCGTTTATCTGATAGACGATCTCATCGGACAATGGTACCTGTGCTACTTTGTCCTCAATCGTTTGCAGCTGTCGATAGTAAAAATCGACTTTACAAATCCGAACTGCATCGTCTTCGGCATGAACCGAAGCATCAGCGCCAAAGATTCCGTTGCTATACCGGTAAGTTTGATCGATTGAAAATAACATTTTTTTTGCACAACCTCTCTTTCCAGCATCTCCACATGCTGGCCATCCTTGAGCACACGGGAAACGTCGTGCTGTACTCGGGTTTGACGATCGTCGGGAAACTTCACATCGGAGGTGTCCTCGCTCAGCATGTGCCCTCACCTTTCGTAGTTAGAAGGAGTCTGAAACAATTCACATCGCCTTTTCCTAGGTATTATTATTATCATTGTATAGATTCAATGTGCATTACAAATGAAATAATGAATTGTTTCGAAGGAGGAGCAGCTTGCTGCCGAGTTCCCAAACTTCGTCGGAAGTTCCGCGCTTCGATGATCATCTACTCTCACCCGTGTTGCCCACATCTTCCAAGAATCCCAATGTACTCCAGTTTCCGCTGCCTGCAGAGAACTACAACTTGGGAGGTAAACGTAAAATACAATATTGATCACACACATATATTAATTGATATGTGTGTTTCGTAAAGGCGAGAGTGTGAAGACGTACTTGCGCGGTCTGAGAGATTCAATAGAAAACAGAGTGACTCTGCAGTATTCGGACGGATCATACTATAGAGTCAGTCTGCCGCAAATGGTCTCGACGACGCTGGTAGAGAACTGCTTGAACGTGCTGAGGCAAATCTTACAGAGCAATGCAACGATAACACTGTTAACGCGCTGGTACGCGACGAGAAACTCGCCCGGCACCATCGAGCTAACCGTGGAGAAAGAATGGGAGATGTTCACCGCTCTTCTGCTGGAGCTTCTGGGCTACGAGAACGACCAAAGCAGCGAAGGTGGCCTTGCGGACACGGCGACGACGCCGTCGTGCGCTGCCAAGAGGCAACGGCAATCCGCTTTCGGCAGCGAATCCGATTGGAAACGGCTGCAGCATTCGGACACGCATTATGCGGTCATAGATGGCGTCGGGAACGTGCTGAAATTTACCAAGGAGCCATACCGGAGGCAGCTCAAGATCGACAGCGACGTCCACGTGAACAGCAAGTCCATCCTGTTCACGCACATTAAGATTATCCAGTACTCGTTGCACCTGCTCTACGAAGATTTGAAGCTGAACACGCTGTGCAAACACGATCTGCCACTGCTCGCCTCGTTCTTGAGCAAACTGGCAATGGATCTGGGAAACAAGTACTACGTGATGCACTATTGGCGCGATTTTCCCGATCAGTGTCCCATCTACACAGATTCCAGCCAGTTCTCCGCTACAGATCTGAAGAATGTCATCCAGTGGTCCGCCATCACCGACGAGCCCACCAATATATTCGGCCACTTTTCTAGATTGTTCAACGGAGAAACCACTGACAGTTATCCGATCGTCGCCAACGTGAACGTTAGAAGTCGCAACATGATGCAGGTATGTATGAATCATTCTCATTACGCACGACTAAGGGTAGCAATTGTATTTTCAGCTGTGCGGTATTTACATGCACGGCGTCACCAAGGAGAACGTCGAGTTGAATTACGATAATTTCATCAAGTACATCAGTCCACCGGGCGTCAAGTCGAAGGCGCCGGACGCGAATCTCAAGGTGAATTACGACGTAACGAACGATCTGACGGAGCAGAAAGTTGTCCTACTGATGGCCGAGCTGGGCATCACAACGCGAGACCTGGAAACGTATCCGGCGGGCGTGAATTTCGTACTGCACGATGCTCTATGGAGGTGCCGCGAGAATCCGCCCACCGATTGGCCACCAGAAGCTTTCAATTTGCTCCAGAGGCCGGACCTCGCATCTCAAGCGCAAATCATCGAATCGGTAATTTAAGTGCAGTCAAGAAATTTAGCGCTTAAACATTTATGTTTGTTTGTTTAGAAAAAGCCGTATTCTCATGCCAAGCAAAAGTATACAATGTTCGGGCAGATAAATGAAAATCTTCCGATCATCAATCAGGTGGTGGAAGGCAACCACGAAGACGGGATGGAGGATGTCGATGGTCCTCTGCTGAAACTTCGCTTCTCCGACGATATGCGAGTGAGCGAGTGCAGGCGATGGCTGCAGAGCTCCAAGTCAGTTTCAGTGGATTTGGTGCAGAGGCCGGACGTTTCCGATCACGATTTCATCGAAGATCAAGAGAAACAGCTGTACGCGATCTGCACCCGAACCATGGCTCTACCCGTTGGAAGGTGAATCTTTTGAACAGTTGTTATTGTTGTCTAATATTAATTAATCGTTGTTTTTAGGGGCATGTTTACGCTTCGTACAGCGACACCGGTTATAACTGAACCGTTACCCATTCCGCATCTCTGCCTAACTGGAAAAGCTCCACCCAGAGGTTCGAGCGTCGAGTTAACACACATCGACACTCCGGCTAACATGAACCTCTGGCCGCTCTTCCACAACGGCGTAGCGAACGGCCTCCGCATCGACCCCGACGCCATGAATATCGATTCCACCTGGATCATTTTCAACAAACCAAGGAACAATATGGAAACCGTGATGGAACATGCGGGTTTCCTGATGGCGCTAGGACTCAACGGTCACCTAAAGAATCTGGCCATTCTTAACACTTTCGATTACTTGGTCAAATTCCAGGAAATGACCAGCGTTGGAATCCTTTTAGGTATAAACGATAAATCTGTGAACTATTACTATATGTACGTAAATACTTTAACTGTGCGCAGGTTTGTCGGCTGCAAACAGAGCCACCTCGAATCTGGTCCTAACGAAAATGTTGGGCGTTCACATTGAGACTCTGCTGCCGCCTACCTCGATGGAAATGGATGTACCGCAGAATCTTCAGGTGGCCGCGCTCTTTGGTATCGGTTTGGTGTATCAAGGCACGGCGCACCGTCACATGACCGAGATACTGCTGACAGAAATCGGACGGCCGCCTGGCCCCGAGATGGAGAACAGCGTCGACAGAGAATCGTATTCTCTGGCAGCGGGTCTCGCGCTCGGTCTGGTCACGTTGAGGCAAGGCGGAAAGCCGTCCGGCCTCTCCGACTTGAACGTACCGGACACCTTGCACTACTACATGGTCGGTGGTAACAAGAGGCCTCTGCTGGGTTCGCAGAAGGACAAGTACAAGGTACCGTCCTTCCAAATCCGCGAAGGTTCGAGCGTCAATTTGGATGTGACCGCGCCGGGCGCCACACTTGCCTTGGGTCTCATGTATCTGGGAACAGGAAACAAGGCGATCGCCGACTGGATGGCTCCGCCGCAGACGCAATACCTCCTCGACTTTGTTCGTCCGGATTTTCTGATGCTTCGCACACTGTCTAGAGGTAAACGAGTTAATAACGTAAACTATAACTCATTCTAAATGCAGCGTTCTTAATTCACAGCGTTGATACTGTGGAACGAGATCAGTCCGGACAAGGAGTGGATCGAGAATCAGGTGCCGAACACGATCAGACCCTACTGCATGGTCAAACCATCTCCACTCATGGACGTCGACTACGAGGGAATGAAGTAACTACAGTTATTTGGGTTCCTTTTGATGTAAAGTATATGTTTTTTTTTTGTGATAATTGCAGCCAGGCGTATTGCAACATAATTGCTGGAGCCTGTTTCGCACTGGGCCTCAGGTTCGCAGGATCCGCCGATGAAGTCGCATTCGCCACCCTGCTGGACTATTGCCACATGTTCACCTCGCTCACATCCAAGTCCATCGCTGAACTTGCAGGAAAACCGACTATAGAGACATGCCTCAATGTGGTCTTACTTTCTGTTTCTATGGTAAGTACAAGCAAATCTAATTACTGTTACATTATTGCAATTATTATTTTGATTTAGGTGATGGCCGGAACTGGAAATCTGGAGATCATGAGGATCGTGCGGTTTCTGCGAAGAAGGGTCGGCATACTGAGCAGTGCCGTCGTGACGTACGGTTCACATCTGGCCATCCACATGGCTCTGGGACTCTTGTTCTTGGGCGGCGGTCGCTACACGCTCTCCAATTCACCAGCAAGCGTGGCCGCCTTGATTTGCGCCTTCTATCCCAAATTCCCAACTCACAGCAACGATAATAGGTATATATAATATTATATATTGATGTTAGTATCATGTGTTAATGAGTTATTTTCTTAGGTATCATCTTCAGGCTTTTCGACATCTGTACGTGATGGCCGTGGAGCCGAGACTGATCATTCCCAAAGACATCACCGTGGGCAGGATGTGCTACGCGAACATTTGCGTGATCAAGCTGGACGGAACGACGCTTAATTTCAGGGGTCCCGGTTTGATACCGGACTTGAACACTCTGTACAAGGTTTCCATCAAGGACGAACGTTATTGGCCCGTTGTCTTCGAGAGGGAACGCAACTGGGATCAGCTAATGTATTTAACGTGACATCCGTTATGATGATATGAAGATGTTACATGATTTTGATTCTATTTGCAGAAAGTTGCTTTCGTCGTGCTGCTGCATAGATGTTAAACCTAGGGCAGGTTGTTTAAGTTACACGGAGGATAAGTTGGGCTTCCAAAGTGATCTGGCTCACACTCTGATGAAGTCGAAGGTCGTCCCCTGGGATCCTCCGCCAAAGGCCATAGAGTCTTTCTCGTCAGATTGCGTCGTCAAGTACTTCACCGATCACTTCCTCAACGTCCACAAGGATCGAGAATACTCGCACGAAGAAGCGAAATTCAAGCAGAACATTACGCGAGCCGCCTACGACTGCGTCATCAAAGATAAACTCTCCATCATGCCTGTCTTCGTAAACTTGATTAAGGTAAAATGTAACAATTTAACGTAGAATATATCAAACAAAATGTTCGTATTTCAGACTGTGAAAGATCTGAACGTGCTCAAAAGTACGATGGAGCTATGGAATTTACGGATGATCAAAGACTTTGTGCTCGGTAATCGTCTGCGATCGACTCTGACGAATTCCGAGTTCATATTATCCTTGCACCATCAAACCATCATGATCATGGACGAATGGGAAGAGGAGATACGCCCACTCCTGAAATCGTACATCCTAGGCGAGCCATTGGTTTGTCCACAGAATCTGCAGCACAAACTAACCAATTACATTACGTTCTACAATATACCCTACGACTTGGAGCACGACAGCGAAGATCTCGTGCAGCTTATGTGCAAAACGATGTCGATGAACTGCAGCTCTGAGACCATCGATAAGATCTTAAGAATATTAGATTACATACAATAATAATGTTTGTACATGGTTAATAACAATAATATATTTTTCTCTTTTAAATGAAACTTTATTGTTAAAAGCGCCACCTCGTAAAGTTACGTTGAAGCAATCCCAAGCCTTAACCCCACAAAATATAGTTTAAATTGAGAAATGTTGAGTGAAAATTGAATGAGATAAGAAAATGAACAAGATACGCATCGTGCATAGATCCTCCAGATTATTTCAACCATTGAATCCCGTACAGAAAAATATTCAAGCTAAAAATGTAGATTTAACATCCTTAAGCCAAAAGGTGTGTATTTTTAATGTGAAACTGTAGTATTTGCAACTGCTCTTACGATTCCAGCTAATGCTTGATCTTGGCATCATAAAACAATCGAGTCCAGGCAGTTTCCATTATCTGCCGTTGGCTGTTCGCTCACTAAACAAACTCACAAAGATTGTCGATGAGGAGATGGCAAACATTGATGCACAAAAAGTGATATTCCCGACATTAACTTATTCCAAACTGTGGGAGAAAACAGGTGGGTGATCAATAAACTGTTGATAAACAGTCACAGGTAGAAGATATTTATGTTGCTATTCACAGGAAGGATTAGCGATGTTGATTCTGAGCTGTTCAAAGTCAAGGATAGGCATGATGGTAGTTACATTTTAAGTCCAGTAAGTAAGTCTACTCTGAGATCAATTGGGTTTTTGTTGTTACTTTTTTCCTTTCTGTGATTTAAGACTCACGAAGAGGCTGCTGCTGATCTGCTAGCAACTATAACACCAATGTCCTATAAGCAGTTTCCACTGAAACTGTATCAAATCAGCAGCAAGTTCAGGGATGAAATGAAACCCAGGTTTGGGTTGATGAGGGCCAGACAGTTCATCATGAAAGATCTGTACAGCTTCGATCTTAACATGGAATTGGCGCGTGCCACCTACGACCAAGTCTGCGAGGCTTACGAAAGAATCTTTAAATTGATTGGAATTAATTTCGTTAAAGGTTTGATTGATTGAGTGATTTAAACATATATTAATATGGTCGTGTTATTATAGTCTTGGGTACAACTGGAAATATGGGAGGCAGTATTTCCAATGAATTCCATTTTATTTCGAAAATTGGAGAGGATAAGATATTGAGTTGCGGCAGTTGTGGTTACCGTGCTAACGTTGAATTGGCCGGCGACGAATTGCAATGTCCGGTTTGCGGAAACAACGATAAAGACTTAATCAAAAATGGAATAGAGGTATTTCGGGATATTCTGTATTTTTATACTCGATTCATTGTTATTATCGTTTCACAGGTGGGACACACGTTTCTGCTGGGTGAGAAGTACTCGAAGCCTCTGAACGCAAACTTCATGGGGATAAATTCGAATGCGGTCGCGTTGCAGATGGGCAGTTACGGGCTGGGAATATCGCGGATCTTGGCCGCTGCCATCGAAGTTGGTTCACTGGAACACGAGATCAGGTGGCCGGATGTTCTCGCCCCCTACAGCATCATCATAATTTCCCCGAAGGATGGAAGCAAGGAGGATTCTGCGGTGAAGGATTTGCCGTTGGAAATGTACAGGACTTTGGACGGCGTTTTCTGCGACGAGGTCCTGCTGGACGACAGGAACGCTCTGACTATCGGGAAGAGGGTTCTGGATGCGAAGAGAACGGGATATCCGTACATCGTGGTGGTCGGCAGTAAAGCCACGGAGACGCCCGCCAGGTTGGAGGTGATCGACGTGAAAAACGACGAGCAGCATTATCTGAGCAAGGACCAACTTGTCGACTTCCTTCAAGGAAATTGCGCAAATAAATCGCATAGTGTTACGAACTGAATATTGTATATAATAAAAACGTTTCGTTAAGTAAAAATTCTATTTATTTATCATGCATTTTGCGAATATGTCACAGAAACAGACGTGTTAGTTGGGTTGCCTGGTTTATAGTGAGCGATGCTTGGAACCTTTATAAACGTCAATTTGACAGTAGGTAGCGTGGCCGAGCGGTCTAAGGCGCTGGTTTAAGGCACCAGTCTCTTCGGAGGCGTGGGTTCAGGGGGGGTTCACGGGATACGGCAGAATTGTAATCTTTTTTT